GATAATAATAAGATTAAAGCAAAAAAAATATTTATTTTAAAAATAAAAAATTAATAATTAATTTAAAACAAATTTTAAATAAAAAAGCAACAGTTATTTTTAAATAAAAAGGGTAAGAGGAAGGCCAAGTTGGAGGGAAGGGAGGAGTCAAATTCCTATACCTTGATATGTAACTAACTAGAGATTGATCTGGTTATTGTCAGTTTAGTTATTCGGTTGTTAAAGATTTAAAATGAAGAATTTGGTGGGTAGATGTAATACTAGGGATTATTATTATTATTATTTTGAAAATTTAAATAAATTAGTTAAGCCTGAGTAGATGTAGATGTGATAGGATTAAATTTGAGGTTAAAATTATAAGGAGGTGAGGAACTCAAGGACTAAAACCATATAGTTAAAGCTTAAGGACTAAGTGGCAATACTCCCTTTTGTGAAAAACCCAAAACAAGTCGGTAGTTTCAATTCCTTTTTCTTTTTTTGGGGAACAGAATCGTTTCTTCCTCTTGCAAGTAAGGAACCCGCACAAAGGATCTGGCTAAACTAAAGTCAATAAAAGGTAATTCATTTTTTAAACTTAAATTTTGACGGTTAGAAGGATGATGAGAGGGGAATTTAGAAGCTTTTGTTGTAATTTACTTATTAGGGACTCCTCTGTCACACAATTTCACATTGGAAGGGAAATTAAGTGAAATATTTTGGAATGTAGGAGTGAAGATACTGGGTATTTGCCTGGTTGATAGGATTGATTTTACTTTAACTATTATATTTTGGAATTGATATTAAATTGTAAATTTGGATGGTGTGGTGTGAGGAATTTTCAAGAAAATTATTTATTTAGGTGTTTAGTTTACAAGAGTGTGTAAAGGAATAGCTGGGTTTGAGGAACAAGACATTAGTGGTGTGGTTTAGGGAATTATTACATGTAAATACTTGAGAAGTACTAGGTAAACTTTTACTGGGTGATTGAGTTATATTTATTTGATGTTTATTTAGATTTCAAATAATTGTGTGGTAATTGTAATTGAAAGATAGTTATTGAGGTAAGTTATTATACCTTTTAGTATCTTTTAAAAGGTTTGTTTTTATTAAAATTTATTTTACCTTTTCAATATATTTTATATAATATTATCTGGTTACTATGTTTTAAAAATAAAAATATCTTATAATGAAATGAGATGAGTATTGATCAATCATTTTGAGTGGAAAAATTGTGGTTTATTAAATTGGTAATGATTTTTAATACTTGGTTTTCATGTTCTTGGTTGGCTGCTTAACTTGACACGTTCCTCAAGGGTATATTGAGAGTATTGATAGTTGTCCCGGAATCTATTTATCATAGAGTATGATGTGGAGTGTGATGCAGCCTAGAGAACTTGTATTTGTTGTTTTCTTTTTCATCTGGTTTTGAATGTGGTTTCCTCATTGTGAAGTTGGTTTCCTCATTGTGAAGTTGTTTACTTTATTTAATTATTATTTTTACTGAAATATAATGCTTGATCAAACGAGATGGGTATACTCTTATTGAGCTATCTTGCTTATGCTTCAAAATCTCATCTCATTTCAGGTGAAGAAGTATGAGCATTGGGTTTTGCGTGGGGATTGAGAGATCGATAGAATAAATTGGTAGAAATTTAGCAATAGTTCAATTGAAAGCTTACTTGATTTTATGGAATATGATGTTTTTTTTTTTTTTTTGGTTTGGACCACTCGGTATCTGGAAGCCCACTGGACCACTGATTAATCTGGATTTGAGCCGGGCAGGACCCAACAGGCGGCAAAGTTTTTCTTCACGAGTTTTAATGCAGTTGCATTCCTAAAGTTTGAAATCAAGACCTCTAGTTAAACTAGAAGAGTCCCCTGCCAACTAATCCACCCGTTTATGGGTTTTATGGAATATGATGTTAACCACTTTATATTTTAGTTAAGAGATTTGATCTTGTTATTTGAAAACTATTAAGATTTATTAATGAAATTGTTTATTTTTAAGTTGTTAGGCTACATTAAAACTTTGTGGGAGATTGTATTGATATACTAGTAGATGACTTTATACATTTATGGGGTTACCCTATAGATATATGATGTTTTTCATGCCTTGACCTTCGGGTTGGAGTGTGACAGTAGAACAGCAGTTTTTTTTTTTTTTTTTTTAAAAAAAAAAACAAAGCAGAACGACTCTTTGTACTACTTCAACTTAATATTTTTTTTGACAAAAATAAAATAACTGTAAGTTGGGC